ATCTAGGATTTGAGGGGTTTTTACATTACTGGCTAACAGTCCCGAGATCAGCCCAGGAACTCTGCTATGTGAGGAAATAACCACTTTAATAGAGCACTATGTATGGTTTTGATCTTAGAAATAGATGTTTTGAAGGGATCATTGTGTCTTTTCTAATCCATACTTTTGTTGGAAAAGAGGTGTTTAGTCCAGCAGAAATCTGCCATCTAGTTCTGTTACTGTGTTCCCTTGCTTGTATTTTACAATCAAATTTCATTTCATTTTCTACCCAGTGCATAAGGATGTGTAACCAGAACTTGATCTCGTTTGTGTCTGTGTTTGGTTCCATGCTATACTTAATTATATCTTTCTTTCTTCAGAGACTGTTCTTACTCCACAAATACTCTTTAGTGTTAAAGTGTAAGAAGACATTGTCCTTATATTCCTTAACTAATGGGTTATTAATAAAATGCTTTAAGAAAAGAGTGGGATTTGTTTCACAGTTCAGTCTGTTGCAGCCCACTCTGAAAGCTGTGGAAGGCTGGTCCTGCAGCTGTATGTGTGGAGGGGCTGGAGCCTAGGAAGTGTGCTGTTAAGTGCTGGATTTCAGAGGTGGGCACAGTTTGGGTTCATGAGGCACTTCTTGATGCTTGCTCGTGTCTCGGTTTTGAACTGATTCCTGTAAGGAAGTGAGAAACTACTTGTCCAGGTTCATGCTGCATCCTGCTGGGAATTTTGTCACCTGGAAAGTCAGCAAAAGCATCCAGGAGATGAACAGTAAGACTTCTCTTGGGTGGCATGCTGCTGGGCTGAGCACAGTTAAGTTGTGCCCAGTGAGGTTGGCAAGAGGATATCCGGCAGTGCCCAAGAACGCACTGTTAACCTCCCATGCATCTCCCTTTCTTTCTAGGATACATTCCCTACTTCAATAGATAGTTCCCATTATTATTTTATGCTGCCAAGACTACAGAGCCATAAAATCTCATTTTATCTGCATTACAGAGGTAATAAATCTGCACTAGACATAGTGTGCTCTGGTAGTGGTGAAAGGGAGCTCTGACAGGCTGCCTAACTGTGATGAATCTTTCTCCTAATGACAGGTAACCCCACAAAGGAACAAGGAAGGACCTTTGGGTGGTGATGGGTTGCTCCAAACCTTCCAGCTCTGCAGTGTGAGATGCTGGTGGGAGGCTGATAAAGGGGGACAAGGTGGGATGACATAGGTGAACAGAGGGATGGATGGATGGATGGATGGATGGACGGACACAGCAGTTACAGGAGAGCTGGGACCATGGAGAAATAAAGGTAACAGCAAGGTGTTTGTGTTTCTCCCTTCCCAGCCTTTATCACCCTGGTACTCTATGAGGTGGTGCAGCTGGGCAATATTACTAGAGTGGTCTCAGGTAATTCAGTAGGTCACAAGAGCCCAGTGTGGTGTGTCAACCAGCTCAGCCCTTTGGGAAATGACAGGGCTTGAAGTGATGTGCTGTGTGATGCAGCGAGGCAGCCAGGGATGCTCTATGGATGCTCAGCAGACACCAGTGGTGGAAACTGCATCTTGAGGGGACTCCTCCAACCTCCGCCCCTCCGGCAAAGCACTGGAGCAGCAGGAACATCAGCACAGACCTCTGTGACTTGTGTGGCAGGTACAGTTGTGTGGGTCTCATCGTTGGTGCTGGCTCTTCACACTCATTTCCACCACTGGATCAGTGGCACAACTGCTTCCAGTCAACAGCACTCAGCTCCTCAGCCAGGCTGCCAAGTGCCAGGAGCCATCCCTTCGCTGTGGTGACAAGCACTGGCTCCTGCCATTGTGACTCCTGTGTCCTTAGACAGCAAAAAGTGGATGGAAAAGGGTTTCTGTCAGTGAAGTCAGCTTCCAGGAGCATGGCCCAGGGCTGTCCCACCACTGCTGGGCTGGCTGTCGGCTCAGTGGGTGCCATGATTTTGGTTCCCCTTCCTTGTTGCTCGTTGACCACAAACAGATGCTACAGCCCTGTGTGTATACATAAGTGAAAAGCTCCCAGGCTGTTAGCAGACAGGGAAACCACAATTGCACATTGAATAATAAATGGAGTGAATTCAGACAAGTTAATCTCCCACTTCATCCGCTGGAACTACTAATGGTGTCTTGGGGACCTCAGCTTGCCGTTAATTGGTGTGAATCAGGAGCAGTGTTGGAAGCTGATGGAAATCTGCTGTGAAGGAGTGAGGGCTGACAAACACCATCAGGGCAGCTCCCATGGAGGGGTAACCTGTTTGGGAGGGAGGCCGGATGGATGGACATGGACAGACACTGTTCCCCTCTGCGGGAGGGAGGATGGAGCGATGGACCCCACGCTGCAGTGAAGAGGTTTGGAGCCTCGGCTTGGGCTGGGCACTGTCACTCCTGTAACCCCACTGCTTTTCAAAAGGCTCCTATTTCTGCTTGCAGTGTGATGAGCAAATCCCTGCCTCCAGTGCAAAGCACCGCTGTTTAGCCCTCATGGGTGCAGAGGAGAAGACGTGAGTGCTCTGGATTGGGGTGCTCTGAGAGCCCCAAACCTGCCTTTGTCTCTGAAAACCTCTGTCTTTTCCAGAGTCCGTTGTTTGGCAGGCCCGCCTGCGCTTGTATTTGTGAGTGCAACACCAGCAATGTCACCAGTGCCATCTGCAAGATGTGGGGCCGAACTCGGTGATGCCCTAAACACGCAGCTACCTCTGCCAGCCCCTGGGCCCTGCCGCTGCGCACGGGAGCAGAAGCACCCAAAACCCGTGGCTCCTGGCGGAAGCCAGCCCTGTAAACCACAGGGTGCTGCATCTCCCGTGGAATTCCCGATTCCCACCAGCCATCCCCAGTGCCGGCGGTGTGCCGGGAGCTGCCACAAGCCCGCGATGGCTGCCAGCATTCCAGAAAGGCTGGTGGGGCCCCGTGGGGGGAGCCAAGGAGCCGGCTGGGGCACAGGAGCAGGGCTGGTGGCGAAAGGTCAGGGCCAGCGCACGACTTCACATGGTACCGAGAGGCTGATGGAGCCAGAGCAAATCCTTCCCCAGCTGAAAGCAGCCTCGTTCGGCTCAGCCCTGTGCTAAATGAGGAGAGCTTTAATGTGGAGCAGATGTAGTGATGGCTTCTTCCCTCGTTAGCCGACCCCAGCCCGCTCAGGGAGCACCTTCATCCAAGGAGCAACGCGCTGCTTGTCTTCACAAAGGGTTTTGCAGCAGGTTTTGGGGCAGGGCACCAGGGTTTAGCAGCCTGGTCCACTGAGTTTTACCCTGAAAAAAAGAAATGAGTCAGGATCCACTTTTATTCCTTTTCAGTTGTTTTTTGTGGCCGAGCAAACTGCACAAGAGCTGCCCTTCCAGTGATGGCTTCTGCTGCTGGTGGTGATGACAGGGCTTGTGTTTGTGGAGAGCATGAGCTGAGGGATGGGGCAGGATCAGCTGGAAGGCAGCAAAATGGCGTGAGGGCGCTGGGGCTGAGCACCACGTAGGGATGCGTTAGCACCAGGAAGGTGGACAAATTACCCTGAGGGCTGTGTAGGGAGTCAGGAGCAGCCTCATCCTCTACTGGGGCTTTGTCACAGGTGAGCTGGTTTGGTCCCATCGCTGTGACTGACCCAGGTAAGTCACCTTACGGCAGTGTTCCCAGTGGGGAGCACTGAGGTGGGACAAGGCAAGCGCTTGGATCCCCTCATGAGCACTGCTCTGCAATTCCATCACCTGCTCCCCAGGGACTCCGGTCACCCCCTGGCACTGCCACCCACTGCAGCGATGGGTTTGTTCTTCAAAGCAAAGCCTCAAAGCGGAAACGTTTGGAGGAGCCAGGTGGATGTTGTGCTGTCTCATCAGCGCTGCCCCTTGTTTTAATGCCAGACTTCTGGGTCCCATCGCTAACGGCAGGTAAAAGGCAGCTCCCTGAGCCCACTGCAGCAGGCCTGGACGCCACTGCCGAGACCGGATCGCTTTCAGTAGTGACGGACAGGAGAGAGGCCCTCAGGAGGAGAGCAAGGAGGCTTCTTCTACCACAGGGTCAGGGAGGAAGCCCTGGCGCCGGCTGCCATCCCCTGGGCATGGCGGGACCAGCCAGGACTGGGTATTGCATGCACCAGTGAGACCTGTAATGGGAACCTCCTGATGTGGAACTGGAGAGCGGAGAGCCCTGAGGGGACGGCTGAGGGGTCTCTGGTGAGGTGGCTCCAGAGAGGGGAGAGCCCTGAGGGCTCCAGTGAGAGGAGCCCTGTAAAGTGGAACCGGTGATGGAAGACCCGTGAGGGGAGCCAGTGAGGGGGCTCTGGTGATGGGACTCGGTGAAGTAAGACCCATGAGGGGGCTCTGGTGACAGGGCTCACTGAGGAGAGCCCTGTGAAGTGGAACCAGTGAGGGGAGATCCCCGAGGCTGCCCCAGTGAGGGGAGACCTGTAATGGGAGCCTCCTGATGTGGAACTGGAGAGCGGAGACCCCGGGGGGCTCTCTGGTGAGGTGGCTCCAGTGAGAGGAGCCCTGTAAAGTGGAACCGGTGATGGAAGCCCCGTGAGGGGAGCCCCATGAAGAAGAGCCAGTGAGTGGGCTCTGGTGATGGGACTCGGTGGAGTAAGACCCATGAGGGGGCTCTGGTGCCCGGGCTCAGTGAGGGGAGCCCCGTGAAGTGGAACCAGCGAGGGGCGCCATGTAAGGGGCTCTGATGAGGGCACCGGTCACAGCCCTGTGCAGGCAGCCCCGGGAAGCGGAACGGGTGAGCGGGCTCCGCCGCCAGGCCCCGCTGAGGTGAGGCCCCCGGCGGGCGCCGCGTGGCCCCTCACGGGGGCCGCTGCCTCCCCTCAGCGCTCCCGGAGCGGTCGCGGCGCTGCCGGCGCCCTGGCGGATGCGCAAGATGGCGCAAGGCGCTGCCCGCCCGCCCCCGCCCGCCGGCCCCGCTCCCTCAGCGCCGCCCCCCCTCCCGCCCGCCCGGCGCGGCGGCGTGCTCGCGCGGAGGGGAGCAGCGCTCAGCGCCGCTTTTTGCCCGTTTTTCGCCCCTTTTCCCCTGTTTTTCTCTCCCCGCCCCGCAGCCGGGGGTGGTTCTCCCCTCGCCGCCCTCCCTCCTGCGCGGGCTGCTCCCTCCCCGTGGGGCGCAGGGAGGCAAGCCCGCCCGCCCGGGATGCCATGGCTCCGCCGGGCTCCGCGCTGCCCGCCTGCCTGCTGGGGCTGCTGCTGCTGCTCGGCTGCTGCGGAGGTAAGAGCCGCGATGGGCTCGGGGAGCGGGCGGGGGCACGGACCCGCCGCCGCCCTCGCCTCTCGGTCGGGCGGTCCCGTCCCGCGGTGCCTCCCGCACTTCGCGTCCCCTCATCACCCCTGTGGTGGCCGGGGCCACCGGTCCCTCGCGTCCCCTCCCGGCCCGCTCCCCGCTGCTCCTCCGCAGCCGGTCCCAACCCTGTTTATCCTCCCGGTCGCTGCCCGTCCCCGTGGCGTCGCGGAGCTGAACGGGACCGAACAGCTCCGGAGATGGTGTCCGTGGCGCTCGCTGTGTGAGCGAGCATTCCTGTGCTGGGGACTCGTCCCCCCGGGAAGGCGCTCCGGGGTCACGGCGTTGGGCTGCGGGCTCCTCCATCAGCGCCTTTAACACCTTCAGAGAGCCCGAAGCGTTTCCCCCAGAGCTGTTTTCAGTTGGAAACCCCACGTGTGTGGCTTTATGGAAGGGACCGAGGTGTTCGTGGGGCCCTGGCTCCCACAACTGGCACTGGGGAGGGCTGGGGTGGCTGCTGGGGCAGTGGATGGTTGGGTACCCGTGCCTGGAGCGCAGACCCGAAGTCATCATCGGGGATGTGAGCGGGCGACAGCGCCCGGGCGGACGCGTTGTGTTCATCGCTGAAGGCGGTAGCTTGCAGAGAAGAGATACTGGGCTGCAAGTTGCAGGGATGATGGAGAGCTACTTTAACCCTACACGTATTGTGCTCTCCTGTAATGCTTGGCTCGGTTCACACCGCGGGAACGGGTAACACCACCCACCGGACCGGGGCCGAACTACAAAAACATCAAAGAGGTTTTTCCCTGGACTTACTGCACATGCCCTGCTGCTGAATTGCAGTGTTTTCCTTCTACTGGCGATGCTGCTTTAGCATGAGTCGAATCTAAGAGGCTATTCTGCAGCATAATAGCCGTGTGCATCCTGCCCTCGCCTCACTTAGCAGCCGGAAAGATAAGGAAAAGCGGGAACTGTTTAAAAACCATGCAAGCAGCTCAGCATGGGCAGAGGGAGAAAAGCGTGTGTTTGATTAACCAGAGATTAGCTGCCGTGGTGTTTAGGAAACCAGGCTGTGGGCTATCCCCGTCATAAATCTCGCCACGTGGTTCGTAACAGCCACGGCGAGGAGAAGGCGGTGTAACACAGGGAAAAAAGAAGTTATCTTGTGAAGTGGATGTAATGAAACAGGTCTCACTGCTCTGTTGGATTCCTGGTTACTCTGTTGGGCTTCCTGGGTACGCAGCAGCGCAATGAGGATGGTTGAAAAAGTACTTCATTGGGGGGGGGAAGGAAAGACAAAAAGTGCATTTTTGAAAGCAAAGCTTCAGTACATTGAATCTGTGTGCAGCCTATCGCCTGCTGCTGTCCAAAGTGCCCTGTGTGCTTGTTTATGCCGCGACTTAGTAGCTCAGCGCCTGCTGACTTCGGGGTGTGTTTTGCCGGCTCCGCTAAAGAGTTCTTGGCTGCACTTTGGAAGTCTCTCTGTTCCAAAGTGTTCCCCCTCCCCTTCGGTGGGTTTGTGTGCTCTAGATGCGCTTAACAGCGAGGTAACGTGTTTCTGCGCTCCGCTGCCCCTCATAAACCCTCCCGCGTCGGTGTCAATCGGCGCGGGGCAGAAAGCCGCGCCGCGGGGACGGGTGCTGTGTCGGGACAGGATGCTCCGCTCCCCCCCTGCGCTTTCCAAGCTCCCCAAAACGCTGGCCTGGCGGCAGTGCTGCGGGTGCTGGGAGCTGCGGGGCAGTGCGCTCAGCAGCGAGACAGTGTTTTCTTTCCTTTTTTTGCCTTTTAATTTCCTGGAGCTCTTTGTTCTGGGTGGTGGACAGCTTTTGTCTGTTATTGCTGAGCCCGGCATTCAAAGGCAGGCATAGGATACCAGAGGCTCCGCGGCTCTGCTCAGTAACAGCCTTGGAATTAAACATCGTCATTTATATTTAAGTAGGCTTAACTTGTAAATTATTGAAGCTATAAGCTTTCACTAATTCCTACTCTGTGCGGCTTTGTTGTTTTTTTAGGAGCAAAAAAAAACCCGAAAGGATTGCTTTCTCCTAAATTGGTGTAATTCCCTGTCTTTTTTCTTCATATCCATAGAGAGTATCAGGTATCATTTCCCCAGTAACTCTCAGAGTCACTGTATGAAATTCAAGCTCACGTTTGGGCTTCGTCTGTCTCAGGGGGGTTCAGCAGGGGAATCTCAGGACGTGGTTTTCCCATGTGGTGGATGCAGCAGACGGCCTGTGGAACGGGGTGGTGTAATTTCACAACCATAACACGTGTGCGCTCTGTTTGGGACCTGGGCTGGGTGCGAAGCTCATGCAGGGGTGTGAGTGTGCAGCCACCCACACCAGTGACCTCTTCTTATTACTGCTCGGGTGCTGGGCCTTGCACAGCATGGGCTCCCATGCTCACTTAGGAGCTTGCAGAGGGTCTCAGATCCGAGATTGCAGCCTGGTTTCCCCCTCCTCTCCTTCCTGCTCAGTCCCAGTTTTGTCTTGTGTACCTTGATGCTATCAGGTTGGAATAGGGCAGTGTGGAGTAGCTCAGGAGCGGTGCTGCCCTGTGGAGAGCTGCAAAACTGCTCTCATTTTACATGTGCAGGTGGGAAAGCCTCGCTCCCTCTTTTCTGTCTGCCTGAGCTTTTCTCTCTCTGACTTCCTTGTTTCTGGAGAGTCCCATGTCATAGCACATGAAGTGCCAAGCAGTGACCCTGTGCAGTGCCAACCCTTTGCTTTACAAACCCTTTGGACGCTGCTCCCTCCTCACCTCCCCATCCCACAGCCTTGAAACATCCTTCTCTGCCACACTGGGGTGGTCAGACCTGGTTTGCTCACCTTGCCCTGCAGCATTAGGATCCAGTGCCAGCTCTGTCTGGAGCAGGATGGGATCCTGATGTGGGGTTGCAGTGGAGCTGGTTCAAAGGCACTGAGTTCAAGCTGGCTATTTGCTTCATTTGCAGCCTCCAATAGATCTATGACTGAAGAAGCTTTTTTCCACATCCCCTCTCTCCCCTATATTTCATACTTTGCACTCCTGTACTTCCAACCCTGGGTATTGTCCTTTATTTGATCTAACGAAACAATCTGCTTCTCTGTAGAGTAAGAAACCCCATTTAAATCAGCGCACATTGAGCAGGACCAGCAATAGCCTGTTCAAAATTACTTTGAAATCACAAACTTATTTGAACTTTACTGGAGCTTTTTAGTTTTACAGAGTTTAGAAACTAATAAATTATGTAGCAGGGCTCATGAAAACCTCGCCGGGTCCCTGCATCCAAATGAATAGGCAACATTTTGGTTTTGCAAGAGAATAAAAATAATTGTTTACACATGTTCAGGAGCCATTGGCGAGCGTATAAAAGTGATGGTTAAGGAGGCGAGCATGTCAATAACTGCACTTTAAGAGAAGAGAAAGGCAAATAGGCGAGCGCGCTGGGAAAAGCACACAGCGCACAGATCTGGCCTTGCTATTATATCAGATGTCAGTGTTGTATCGCACCCTCCACTCAAGAGGAGCCCAGTCACTTAACAACCCAGACCCGCTCCCGTGCTGGTAACTTAAAACCCGAGTTTCAGAGCAGAGTCAAGGATTTGCTGCCTGGCTTTTTTTGTTCTTGTGCCTGTGATTGTGTTGATGAAGCTGATGGGAAGTGAGGAGGATGCGGGTTGGGAAGGGTGGTTCTGCTGAGTTGTGAAGATGCTGTTGCAAAAGGATCTTTGCTGCTGAAACCTGAGAGTACGGGAAAAGGGAGAGAAGAGCTTGTGTTTCATTAGGACAGCTCTGGATCTGGAATGCGCAGGGATCAGTGCGGTGCTCAGCTCCTTGAGAGGAGCGAGGTGATGCTTTCCTCCTGCCTGAATTTCAGGGTGGGATGTGATAAGGCAGAGGGGATGGCAGGGAGGAGAGAGCGCTGTGTTTCCTTTGAACTCCCTGGATAAAGAGTTTCAGAGGTTTTAACATACGCAGAAACTTCTCATCTTCCAGGAGGACTTTGCCTTTCCTTTCCTTGCACACCACCCCGTCCTGCCTGCCAGTACTCAAGCTGAATGCAAGGGATGGGTGACGGCTTTGCTGGCTGGTGGCTTTTGGCACCGTGATGCTAGGGTGCTGCAGCTCCCTCTCAGCACCTCCACAGGCACTGGCACCCACCACGTGGCCGGTCTGTCCCATGCTGAGTCTGTGCAAGTGACCAGCCATGGGGACAGCCACCTCCTTGATGCTTCCTTGCAGGGTTGGGGGCTGAACCGGGCTGTTCCCTGTGCTGCATTAGAGCAGCCTTGGGGGATGAAGCCTGCAGGGACCGTGGCTCTGAGCACAGCGTTTCTTATCTTGGCCACTGCCTTTGCTGTCCTCTCAAGCGCGGTTGTTTCCTGCTCGGTGTTGTATCGCTGATGCCCTCTGTGGTGAGCCTGTGATCTGGTCAGGGCTGCGAAACACGTGGGGAATGCAAACAACAGCGCATCCTGCGCTCAGCTGGCTGCCGTGCTCTCTGCATGCCTTGTGTGGATGGAGCTGCTCCGGGCACTTAACTCCGGAAAGGTCTTTGCCCTGCCCAGCTATACCAACAGGTTTTACCCTGCCTTCTTTAGAGATGGGGGAGCACGTGAGGGCCCAGAGCTTGTTCTGGAAGGGGTCTTTTGTGTTGTGAACGCTTCCAGCTTCCATGTGGTGTTCAACAAGCGACCTCCTGGGATTTGCCCAGTCTGGTCATGAACAGCTGAGAACTATCTGGGGCAACTTCTCTGGCTCTTTGGGCTGTGTTTGCCTTCCTCTGCCAAAATCCGCGTCCCCACTGAGGGCAGCCAGGCTGGGTATGACTGAGCTCTGCATCAGGTGACTGAGAGGTCACGTTATCCTGGAGAGAGACCTCCTGGAATCGCTTAACGAGTGGATGTGGTTTATGTGCCCTGATGGGAAAATCACTTTATATAACCTCCCGTGCAAAAGGGAAGGGAATAAAACATTCTGAGCCAGTAAACTTTACTGCCAGCAAGATGTGGGGCCTGTTACAGTCTATTCTCTTCTTTAAATGTAAATTTTTCTGGATGCCCTGAATAGCCAATTTGGGCTTTACTGCAGTGCAGTGCTTTTCTCCTTAGGCTCTGGGTCAGCCTCAAGGAGCTTTAAGGGGGCATCAGCTGGGTTTTCAGGCTGCCAATTTCATTGGCACGAACCCTGTTATAATCTGCTGGTGAACATCTTTTGGGTCCAGATACCTCTTCCTTCTATATCCTTCCATTTGCAGAACGATTAAAGCCATGTTTTGTAGGGCTGTCCCAAACTCACCCAGGTATTTGGTCCCAATATTCACATGCACCCCGCTATAAAAACTTCTGGTCCTGGCTCATGGGACTCCAGGGGCATCTTCTTTTGCCTTTCTTGAAGCAGGCTGTGCTTGGTGGTGGTGAGGCTCGGTGGTGGATCAGTGCTGATTTATGCTCTGTTGTGCTGGGACGAAACACAGTAGATCAGGAGAGGGTGGATTTGGGCTCACAAGAGGCAGTTTGCAGGTGGATGTCGTGCTGTTGGTCAGATGAGAGAAGAGCTGGAGATGCCTCGGTCTCTGTTAGTGCTCCCAAAGATGGGGCACCAGGAAGAGCAGGGTGCACCTAACTGTTCAATAGCTTGCCTTGCCGAGAGCTGAGACCAGGTCCTTGGCAGGTCATTTCATGGCTCTGTGATTAATGTTCCCTGTCTACAACAGGAGTAATAACACGGGCTTCCTCTGTCGGGACTGTGTGCTCCCGGGGCAGGGATGGCCCTGCTGGCTGTGGGTCTGGACAGGGTCCAGGAGGATGAGCCACGGTGTGATTGAGGTCCTTTGCAATGGATGTCACCGCTAATTAGAGCGGGGAGATTAGCTGCTGTCTTATTGAGAAGCACAGGAGGGAAAGCCAAAATCGCGTTTCCCAAATGGAGAAAGGACAATGCCAGGGTACGAGCAAGTCCTTTTGAAGCTTTGAACATGAATCACAGTGTCAAGTAAAAAATAATTAAACTTATTTTCCTTTAAATGTACTTCAAAGTGTCTTTTAAGCTTCCCATTAATTCGAAGTTCTTTCTCTCAGCACTAAATAAATCTCCTGGTTCAAAAGCACAAGTGCTAATTGGTTTCTGTGAGTAGGGCTGGCTGCTTGATCAATAGGGGAAGTAGTTTTTGTTAAATATTTGCACATATCGTCACATATTGTACTGCTCAGGGACGTGGTAAATGTTTCGCGAAAGGAGACTTGTAGAATGAGGGTTCCAATAATTTTCCTTATGGCCTTTATGTCAGAGCTAATAACGCTTCCTCCCTCCATCCTTCTGCAGACAGCAAAGCAATTTTCCCCTCACATGTTCCCAGCACAGCCTGAGCCCAGCAACCGGTTGAGCTGCCTCATAACACCCCTTCGTCTAAGCGCAAACTCAGGCTGCCCTGAGCAGAGTTTTACAGTCCCTGCCTTGAGCAGAGAGTGGCGGGGAATGACCTCCACATCAGGAGGTACCTGGGATGTTGTGTGGGATGAGCTGGGTTTGGATACACAGCCAGCAGTTGGAGAGGGATGGGGCTTGCAGACTCTGCAAGTCAATGTGCACAGCCTCAGCAGTTTCCTCGCTGTCTGTCTCAGTGAATTGACCTTTTACTGTTTCCATGGGCCTTCAGTGTCGTTTACTTCCAACTTCGCAGCATCGTTTCTGTGCCTTGTTGGTAACCACCATCAGTTACTGATGCTAATGGAGTTGGGTCCTGCTCTTCTGCTCTTACCTCCTTGCTCTATGTGCTCTCCCTCTGGCCCGTCTGAGCTGACCTCTGCAGCAAACACCAGCTTCTCGTCCCACCATGGAAGTTTCTCAGGGAGTGTCCCTTTGTCTCATCCTGAGCATCCTGGGGAGGTAGAGCTCTGCCAGTCTTGGAAAGCCAAATCCCAGCATCCCTGAGTCTGCATGGAAAACCTGTGTCTGGGTGAACGATAGAGCTTGGCTTCTCCCAGATCCCCAGAGGGGGTGGGCTTGCTTCTCCCTATGCATCCGGTTAGTTGGTCACCTGGCCCTGAAGCCCTAAAGGCGACTGCATGTCTTCAAGGTCCGAAGATGAGAAAAGCATCCGCCGAGCAGGAATTTGGGTGCTTCTGTACACTGCAAGGTGTCTGCAGGTTACAGACCTGCACAGTGTCCATTGCATAGTGTCACACCTCAAGGAGACCCCAGGACCAGGCAGTGTCCGTCCTCACCCTGGTGTGTGTCTGAGGCCACCATCCTTCATGATGAGAGTCTTCCCTTGTGCTGCTCGAGCAGCCTGGAGTGAGGATGCAGACTGAATGTTTATGGAGGTAAACATGATTATCTCCAATCACAGGCCTTAATGATGGTTATTATGATGACAGCTATTGTGGGAAGGGCATGTAATTATGTTGATTCTTCCTTTTATTATACATATAATAATAAGCTGTTTTATCTAAGAGGACAGGGGAGCTGTGGGATGATGGGGCATTTATTTCATTAGGGATTTTTTTCTGATTGCCTGTTAGGCTTAATCCTGAAATCTTGTTCAGTCTTTCTGGAGTCAGAAGTCCCCCTTTGGTTCAGTGTCAGGACAGGAGTGTCCTGATCCTAACTCCCAGGAGTGCCCATGCAGGGCCCCAGCGTGGTAGATGCTGTTGAGACTCTGGCCACTTTGCAGAAAAATGCAGAGCATTCATCTAATTCCTTAATTTTCACCCGAAAAAGGTAATTGATGGGTTGGTGCTGGCTGCAGTCTGACTTGCTGAGAGGACCCCAGGGCTATCTCATAAAAAAGAAGTCACAGTGAGCCATAGATCACTGAGATGGCTGGAGCTAGCCTGACATTTTAAGACGTAATGGGTTAATAAAGTGTGTGTTTTAGGTGTCTGTCACTAAGTAGAGTTTGTCATTCCCTGCACACACTCATACCTTGACGCAGTACCTTTGACCTGCCATGCACTACCACTGCCTCCTTTGTCTGCTCCGTCCATCTGCCTCGGCTCAGGTTGCACTCAATGTTTATCCCCCGTAATCCAATTTAAGTTGCCGTAGAAAGCAATGGGGATTTACAGGAAGAAAGAAAATCTCCCTGGGTTTGCAGAGCAGAAAAGACAGACTTTTCTTTCTCTGCTTTTTCTTTAGGGTAACTGCCTCTTCTCATCCCTTTCGTTTTTACCATGTGTCGCTGATCTGCCCTCCACGCTGGAGGTGCGATCCCGTCCTTGGTGGGGTCTGTGTCTGGGACAGGCATGACAAAGGCTGTGCTGGGGCTGGTGTTGGCCAAGGGAAGTCACCCATATGCATCCCAGTTCTGGGAGCAGCTGTGGAGTCGGTCCCCCTGAGCCCATGAACGAGGGGAGAAGCTGTATCACAAGTTCGAGCAGCTGGAAACCTCCACCCATTGAGGGGCTGTTGCATGAGAGAACTGTTAGAAAGGTTCTCCGTGTATTTGGATGACATTGTGGTTTTCTAACTCTGCTGGAATTCTGTCTCCATTGCTGCTCCTACAAAAAATAGATATACTCTTCCATCCGTGCATTTCCACCCTGCAGCTGTTTATATGACTCCTGTTTCCTGGTAGCTCTTTGTCTTTCATGTCAATGTGTATTTTGGGCTAATCTTTACACAATAGCTCTATTTTTGTCATCATCCGTAGCATCTAGTCATGACTGTATGCCACATTATACCCTAAAAAGATATGCTGGACCAAGTGAGGCATAACCTGCCAAAGACACAGTGCTTAAACATTCTGTTGGCAAAAGGAGTAAATTAGGATGTATCTGTATAATGGGAAGAAACTGTTTGCCTATTGTTGGTTCAAATTCTGCAATAACTTCTCTCTCATGGACATCATTTAGTGTAATTGCTTTGCAAGAAACCTTTTGTGTTGCTGAGCCAGAACATTGTGCATTTGTATTTCGGTGCTTAACTTGCTCTTCATTAAGGCCTGAATAGCACCATCCTTTGCCTGTTACAGCCTGAGAGAGACCAAAGTGACAGAAGGGCACATTGTTATGTGAGAGAGGCAGCAGCTTTCTGCTCTGCCAAGTGGGAGAAGCCTCGCAGAGATGCCGGTGGCAATATGGTCTGAATCAGGAGCTGCTGCTCCTCCTCTTCCCCTCACCGGCTGTGCTGTGAACAGGTCTGGGGCATGGCACGGCCCCTTTTCTGCCTGGTTACGTGGGGAGAGGGGTGGATTTCTTGAGCTGGTGTCATCTTCTGCTCCTGGGGTGGCAATGACTGATGCCCCGTGCTTGCGCAAGTTTGGATTGCCTGTTGCTGCACCCCTGCAAAGGGAGGTGAAGAGGCAGTGTGCAGGGGGGTATGCTGGGGAAGTGGATCTGGGCTTTGACAAGCTACCAGAGGGGTCTGTGTGCCCATCCCCTTCCTCAAAGGCAGTCTGTGCCTATGGTTGTGCCTTTGGAAATTGCACCCTGAGATTTTGAGAGCAGAGCCTTAGGAGGCAAAGCTTGCTCCAGGGCTTTGTGCTCCTCTGAAACACTTGCACCTTATGGTGACATGTTCTCATCATCTCCTGTTTGCTGCGGTAGCACTTGGCTCTTTCTGCTCCTTGTGGACACGCTGCTGACTCTGTCCTTCTCTTTTCATTTTAGATCTTGGCCATTCCTCCGAGCTGGCATTCGTTGTGGAGCCAAGCGATGACATAGCTGTGCAGGAGCAACCCTTGATCCTCTACTGCCAGGTGGAGGGCATCCAGCCCATCACCATCACGTGGCGGAAGAACGGCGCGCTGATCGTGGACAGTGAGAATGCCTTCATGCTGTCCAACGGGTCGCTCTACGTCTCCCGCTTCCAGAGGCTCCGGGGAGATGGGTCCTCGGATGAAGGCGAGTACGACTGCATGGCACAAAACCACTACGGGCTGCTGGTGAGCAGGAAGGCCAAGATTCAGGCAGCAAGTAAGTACGGGCATCATCCACCCACACCTCATGGGCCACTACTCCAAGGGGGTTGGGAAGCAGGAGGGCAGTGTGGTGGATGCTGGGTGTTCGAGGGGCAGGGTTACAGAGAGAGAAGAGGGAAATAAGAACCTGGAGCTGGTGTGGGGCTCTGGCTGGCATCTCCTGTGTGTAGCTGTTCAGGTGTGAAAGCAGAGCTAATCAGCCACCTTTTAGCAGTAAATTCCCTGTCTTGGAGGGTGGTGTGTGACATTAGAGTGATGTGGTGAAGTGGTCTGTGGTTCGTGGCTCTCCTGCAGTGGATTTGGAAGCCCCTTTGCTGTGCAGCATGGCTGGGCTCTGTGTGGCAGGCAGTGCTTTCGAAACCATAGGCAAAGACCTTCTGAAGGTCATGGTTTCTTTCACTTTGTTATTTAAGGCAGGCGGTGTAGAGGCAGCAAGGTCTTATTTACTACCCGGTGTGGCAGTGCCTTTGGGGGCAAGGCTAACAACACAGACAGATTGTCTGGTGGGGAAGCCCGCAGGAGGACAGAGATGAAAATGTCAGCAAGGGAATGAGATTTAAAGGTGGGGGAGGAAGAATTACAGGGCAGGCTGTGGCTCCAGCCCTGTGCGGTACCCAGCCTAGCCCTTTGCATCACTGTGTTGGTCCTGTCTGGTCTCCTGAGGATTCCTCTGTCCAGCTCTGGTTGCTGGTTTGTATTTGTCCCAGGACTGATGGCAGAGCTGAGATCTGTTGGTGGTTTCTATCCCTGTTGTGTTGGTGGCCAGCTTTGCCCACAGGCTCTCTGTGGACTCTGGGGATGCAGCCACTAATCCCTTTCGCATTCAGTCAAGTCTCTGCTGGGTGTAATTCACATCAGGGTGTGAGGACAGGTGTCTGATGCAGCCCTAGGACCTGCCTGAATGCTGGTTTGTTGAATGAGTTCTACTGAAGGGTTCTCCATCTTGTCTGCGAGATGGGTACCATTCTTCTTTCTGTGCAAGCCACTTACTGCAGCTTCTGTTGCATTTGCAAATCACACTGTGGAAAAGTCTATGACAAAGTCTGGGGTTGAGGTCCCCTGGCTGCTGCACTTCCCAAACTGGAGGGGGGGGGCTTTGGGAGCGCTGCTGCCCACTCCCCGCGGTGCCGGGGCTGGCTGGCAGCACACCAAGGGAACACTCCAGCCCTTGTGCATAACAATCCCCGAGTGCATGAAGTGGCCATCTGCAAACGTAGCTTTTCAGCACTGTAAGAAGTGACATTGTCCAGGAGCCAAGGGCTTTGGGTCCATGCCAGATTAGCAGCTGGATCTCAAACTTGTCAGTCTTGTGGTGCTGAACCTTGGAGCACTTGCGGTGAATGCCTCTGGCATTTATGAGCTGGGAGCTGGCTGGTGCACGAGCACAGTGGCAAACTTCTCAGACCTGTGAACAGGAGGCATGAGAGCTGGAGGAATTACCTTTGGGATAGGGGATTGTCAATAAACACCGTTATCTCGCTCCTGCATCAATATGTATGTGATGTGCTGTGTGTCCCTGAATAGCATTTCCTTTTGTAGCCATCGGTTCGCATGAATCAAAATGAAAAAGATTGTGTTGAAAATGCTCTGGACTCTATTCTGGCTGCAGGCTTGGTTACTTGCCAGCCCTGAGAAGAGGTCTGGGTGAAGCCAGCACAAAACAGCAGGCACCTGGCCCTGATGCCACAGGTGCCTGCGGATAATGGGAATGAAATGGGATGTTTTGTTGGCTTTAAGCTAACAGAAGGGAGATTTAGATTAGATGTTAGAAAAAATTCTTCACTATGAGGGGGGCTGCCCCATCCCTGGCAGTGTTCAAGGCCAGGTTGTATGGGGCTTGGAGCAACGTGCTCTAGTGGAAGGTGTCCCTGCCTGTGGCAGGGGAGTTGGAAGTGGGTGAGCTTTAAGGTCCCTTCCAATCCAAACCATTCTATGATGCTTTTATTCTTTGTTGTGGGCAAATGTAATTGTGATTTCCCTTGTCCTGAGTTCCGGTAAACAAATCAAAGAAGGGTAATTATCCCCATTTTAGAGATGCTGGGACCACTGCACGAAAGAAGTGGGTGCTGAGTGCCTGGAAGGAGCAATAAAGCAGGTGCCAAGGAGACCTTTGCGGAGCAGAGTAAATAGTGCCAGTGGGTAAAACCTCATCCCTGTGCTGATCTTCCCTCTGAGCCTGACATCTGAACACAAAAGCAGAGGAGGAATAAAAACCTTTCACAAACAAAAATCTTGAAAGTTGATCAAGGCCGTGCTACTGAGGAATAAAAGAGATCTGACAGAGCGGAGCCCCTCGAGAGCTCTGCTGCACTTTTCGCTGTCTTCAAAGGCAGGCTGTTAGTCTCGTATCACCGTTACAGACCCCGGCTTTGTGTTATTGCTTGGAATATAATCTTGGCTCTGAGGAATGTACATATTTGCATTCAGGAAATGTGGGCTGGATAGCGTATTTTTATGCTTCAGATTTACTTCAGCGCTTGGCATTGAGGAAAATTGAACTGGAAGAATATGCTGCTCTCAGCCACTGCTGTGCCTGCGGCCCCCATGGGCTCGAGGTGCAGGGAGTTTCCCCACGGAGCAGGCGCTGCTTAAAACCCGCCTCCTAAAAGTTGATTGAGTCAATGGATTTAACTGAAATTCAGGGGGATTTCTGTATGGCATCATCTTTAACCAAAGATGCTCAGTGGAGGGAAGTGGAGCTGAGTTTTTGGCTGGGTTGGCAGCTCAGATGCTAAAGATATTGATAACGCTTTTGTCATGAAACCTTCTTTTGCTCAAGTACGAGTGTGCAAGAAGCCTACACGTGACTGGGTTGAGCAGAGGCATTTCCCCCCTCTGCCTGACTCTGGTTGGAACTTTTTCAGTTGCTGTTCCTGTGTCCAGTCAAACCCTGGTGTGTTCGTTTAAAAGGCTGTGGAATGCAACGTGTTGTTATAATCCGATCAGGTTATTGAATACAGATCTCTTCTTCCTCCTAATGACAGTTCATAATTTCTCGTGACTCCAAGCTGTCTTAATTAAAATCAGTTTATAGCAGAGTGTTCTCTGGAGCCACTGCTTGGCCGTGTCTTCACAGGTCTCTTTGAGGAGCTGTGTTTCCCTTTGCGTGACAGAAGCTGATGGATCAAGATACTCTCTGAGCAGTAGTAACAGCTATAGTCCACTCCTCTGGAAGCTGAGCTCCCCAAAACACAGCCACCTTTCTTCCCATCACCACCCTTTGCTAAACTTCCTCTTCCTTGACTCTGATTCTGTTGCCTCATGGCATTTTCAGCCCTTTTTTGCTGATGCTGTAATTTGATGGAGCTGGCTCCACATCATCATAAATCACAGCCCAGGCAGTGGAGTAAGACCCATTGATTCTATCACTCAATAACAAGCAGTTACCACTAATTGGAAATCACCATCAAACTGCGTATTGGATCAGGCTCTGCACGCATCCAGCCTGAGAGTAGCAATTTTCCCTGTTTGAGCTAGTGGTGTGAGCGGGGGAAAAAGTAGGAAAGAGAGAAAATAAGTCAATTGTGCAATTTAGAGCCAAAGAGGTTTCTTGAAGTTGGGTGAGACGGACCTGCCCCATGTCTGAAGTACTGTAGGACTTGAGAACAGCTCTGGAGAGATCTTGAGGCTCTTTCCTCATCGTGTCTTGCTGTGGCAGAACAGTTTTGTGGCCAAGCGTAGCAGCACACATCCCTGTGCCCTTCTCTGCTCCCTTACCCCTTCCCTTCTGCATCCTGCCCCAAATCCTGCTCCTCCATCCCACTGTGCCTGGCTGTCCATGGCGCTTACCCTGCCAGCAGGAAGGCAGGATTGATAACCTGAGCAAGGCAGATGTTATGACTCTTCCCTGCATTGATCCCTGCAGACAGCAGCAGCAGCTCCTCTCACCCAGCCTGGAACTAGGCATGACCAAACACGCTGACCACTGTGACCTCCAGGCCAAGGGCCTTAAGGCCATCTGCAGAACATGAAAAGGGGGAAGCCTGGTGCATCTGCATGTTCCCAAGTTGGTTTTCCTGCCAAGCTGTGTTCTAGGGGAGGAGGTTGGGAATTGCGGGGCTTTTAACGCAGCAAAGATCTTCCCATCGTTTCAGCTCCTCTGCACAGAATATATTCAGGGTTTAACCTGCAGCCCCCTTTCCAGGCTCTGGGGTGGTGGGAAGAGCTGCTGAGCCCAAATAATGGCAGCATTTATAAGAGTGTAGAGACAAGAAGGAAGTCTAAAAGGATTAGGGAGAGACAAAGGGGGCTGATTATTTTATGGGTCACAATACAAGGCATTTGAGTGAGATCACAAAGGGATGTAATTACAAAAGAAGGCCATACTGGGGGGATCAAACCAGGATTAGAGTGGGAAATGTTTTTACACAGTTTTGTTCCACTCATTATGAAGTTAGCATTTTAAATTAAGGTTTAAATAAGGTGGCACCAAAGTTGTCACCAAGGTATTTCCTGGGCAGTGCCACTGTTTGGATGCAGATTGAGAGTCTCGGCTCAAAACATCAAGGCAGACCTTAAACACGTGGCTTTTGCCGATGGGTTTTCTCGTGCAATGTACAGTATCTGCTGCTGGAAGGGGGCTCTTTTGGTGATGACATGTTTTAGCTGTGTGAAACACGTGCTGAGGTAAAGGTATGCTTTTAAAGCAAGTGCACCGGTGTTGCTTTGCAGCTCGGGAGACCTGGTCCTGTTACTCCCAGCAGCTTTTGGCTGTCGCATGCATTTTATTGCAGTTTAACCCCTGGTGTTGCATGTCAGCTTTCCTCCATCCACGAATGTGTGTTCTTTTTTATCACTTGTGGCTCAGCTTGCATTTAATGCCCTTTCTTCTCAAATGCTGAGTAGAAGGGCTCAGCCCCGATGCCAGTGATGGTTACTGTGTGTGCTTTGAATGCTTATGGTTCTCGGTAAGCCCAGAGCAGCAGGTTTCAGAGGGGAAAAATACCTGTGAAGGAAAGAAAAAGGAATGAAGCCAAGCAAAAAGACTGTGAGAGG